TAAGCATATCAAAAAATCTGTGCACTTTTGTGTTTATCTCAGCACTATTCACAATAGCCAAGATTTGGAGGCAACCTAAGTACCCATCAACAGGGAAGTGCAGAAAGGAAATGTGGTATGTATATGTAATGGAGTAGCATTCAGACATCAAAAAGAATGAGATCCTGTCATTTCCAACATGCATGGGCCTGGATATCATTATGTAAGTGAAATAAGTCAGGCACAGAAAGACAAGCTTCACACATTCTCACCTATTTGTGGAAGCTAGAAAGTAAAACAATTGAACTGATGGAGACAGAGAGTAGAACAATAGTTACCAGAGAGGCTGGGGAGGTGAGAGGGAACAGTTAATAGGTACAAAAATATAGTTAGAATCAATAAGATCTAGTATGTGACAGCACAACCGAGTGACTATATTCAAGAATAATTTATAGTATATTTTTAAATTAATAAGAGAGTATAATTGGATTGTTTGGAACATAAAGATAATTGCTTGAGGTGATAGAACTCCATGTACCCTGATGTGATTATTGTACGTTGTATGCCTGTATCAAAATATCACATGTGCCCTATAAAATATATATACCTACTATGTACCCTCAAAAATTAAAAATTTTAAAAAATGGACTACTGTAAGATTATTAAAAAGGTATTATATAAGAAGTGCAGGATGCTATATCAAATGTCATGAGAGATACCAAAGTAGCAGAGTACAAGATGCCTGCTTTCAAGTCTTTGCAGTGTGCTGGTTTCTAGCACAGGAGATTATATGTCATTGTAAGGTGAGGGCAAAATATAGTTGGATGTGAACATTTACTATACAATAATAAATGCTACCTTGGCTTTTTTGGTCAATAAATTTAAAAATGATATTTTAGGTCAATAAATTATATATTTGGTCAATAAATTTGAAAATGATAATTTATTGATATTTCAATAAATTTGAAAATGATATTTCCCAGTTCCTTCCCAGTTGGAAGGAACTGGGAAAACAGGAAAAGGAAGACAGAGAGACTGCAGGACGGTGTATCTATTCTCATATCTGAAGATACTTATGGGCTGCTTACAGGATGTTTATTGTATGTACGGTTGCAACACACCTGGCAGGCTCCTGCCCCTTCAAATAAATGTTTACATTCTATGTCTTCCTGAATATGTATCATGTACACACCTTGAAGCACTGACACAGAAAAGAAACACAACTACCTTAAACTGCCATGGTTCTTATTTATACTGTAAATGAAAAATGTATAAGCTTGTTAATATACTTATACCTCAATTTATAGTTTTTCTGCATTTATACATAACACACACACAGACACCCCTTCCAAGCTCTAATGTGATCATGAGTATCTCTTTTATCTTCACGTATGATATTTATTCAACATATAACTGGTGAACATCTCCCATGTACCAGGTACCATGAAAGGTCTGAGAATTAAATATGAAAAGGACACAGTTCTGTCTTAAGGAATTGAAAGGCTCATTTAAAAAAACAAAACATTACAATACAGAAGTTTTTTGTTATAAATTTAGATTACGAAACTCTACTCATGTATCCACAGATATCATACATGCAACCGTTATGTACACTTATGAAATGTAAGTTGCACTTTTATCTCTATTATACATTATATACAACTTTCATTATGGCTTTTAACTAAATTATGAGGTGAAAGAAAGAAAAAGAAAGAAAGAAAAGAAAAATTTATTTATCCTAGACTACATTTTGGTATATTAACACAATAGCAAGATAACTTTTTTATATGAATTCTTAATAAATATAATTGAAAATTTCTGAGAATAGATTTCTATAAAATGTCTCAAACTTTATGTTCCCACAACACTTCTATATTATTAAAAATTACTGAGGACTCCAGACAGCACTTATTTCTCTGAATTATACCTATCAAGAATTATATGTTAGATACTTCATTTTTAAATATTCATTTGTTTACTTTAAAATAATTATAATAAAACTTCTGCACAGTTAACATAGATGGGATTTTTTTTAATAAACACTGACTACATTTTCCAAAAAGAAAAAGAACTAGCTAGAAGAGTGTCACTGCTACACATTCTTACAAATCTTTTTAATGTCTAGAGGAACAGCGAGATCCCCATATTTGTTTCTGCATTCGACTTGTGATATCTTGTCTTGGTTGAGCTGTATGAAGAGAATCCTCCAGCAGGTGTTTAGTTGGAAAATTAAAGACAACATAAACTCCCTAAAAGGGGTCTTGAGGACCCCCGAAAGACCTCCACAATACTTTGAGAACTGTTGATACATATGCTAAAGAACATTGTCACTTGGGTCAGTCATCCTTTAGTCTTCTCCAAAAATACTTAAATATTCCAAAGAAATTCCATAAATTCTGCTTACATTTTCAGAGAATGAGAAGGAGGAGGAAAAGGAGAAAGAAGAGGAGGAGAAGGGGTAGTAGTAGGAGGAAAAGCATCAGAGAATTGAACAATTATATAACTTGGGCATCTTGTTACTGTCATCTTTAAATATCAAAATTCCATATTTATAAAACTTAGAAGTAATTATGGAATTATAGCAATATAAGACCTTTGAGATTGTACCTTGAAAATTAACAGAATAAAATACCAATAACCAAAGAGGCTAAAGAATTATCCCAAAAAATGGCAAAAATACACTTATAAAAAGGCTCAGAGTTTAGAAGGAGAGACCCAGCTTAAATGTAAGCAGATCTTTCTTTTCACATATTTACATACAAATATCCCTAAGTAATACACACACACACACACACACACACACACACACAACCTGAAAACATCATATATATTGTTCTATCTTTACTTGTATTTATACTTGGAAAAGACTTCAGTCTGAGAGTATAACCAAACTACACAATTATTACAGATTAGTAACACTTCCTATCGTTTCAATTTTTTCAAGAATAACTTTAAATATAATGAAAATATATTTTATTCAGAATTCAGATCATTGAACCTCCTAAGAAAACTGATAGTGTATCAAATACAGTTTAAAATTTACAACACAAACCATGCAATCAATTCTCAAATATTTCTATACTACCCATGTTTAAAGGAAATCATAAGAACTTATTTAAATGTCAACTATTCAATAAGTCATTGCTAAAATTGTAAGAAATAAGACAATTTATATTATTTCTACTTAACTTTCCAGATAGTATCACAACCCTTTACTTGCAATCTTTAATGAAAATTTTAAGCACTCTATGCATAGAGATTACTGCATTCTTTGGCATAGAAGAAAATATATCATGTTTATGAATACATATAGGATCAGAACAAAAAATTAATTTAACAAGCAGTAAGTATTCCCTAAAAGAGAAAGCCCATAGCACAATTCAAATTATTGATGATTAAAATGTTTTAGAAATAAAAATCAAATTAAAAAATACAACTAATATGCTTAGGATAAAATGAATCCATATTTAATTTTAACTGTTTAAGGACAATTTCTGTGAATTTTCAGCATAATACTGTTCCTACCAAGAATATTTTTAATGAGGTAAAAAGAATCTAAATGAGTCAATCAGCTATAGACATGCCAGAAATCTAGAATGCTAACTCATGTTAACATGAGGTTATGATAAAGAAAAGCTTCCAATAAATTGATAAAAGAAGAATTACTAATATTTGGCTCAGCAGATATAACAGTTACAACAATGTATTTCTTCCTCAACTGTCCTCTGATTTATCTTTGCATTTACAAACACTTTCAAGCATGATAGAAGAAAGAAGCAATTACAGTTTTGTTCATAATTTTTTTATTTAGTGATTACTCACTTATTTAACTGCTATTTATTTAGTGCCAGCTATGTGCCAAGCACTATAGTAGCCACATGTACTTTACCAAATACTAATACAAATGAGTGGTACATAAAGAGTTTGTCAAAATCCTTAATGATGTAAAGCAAGAGGACGATGAGAAGTGAATAAACCTATCAGTTGCATGTTACTGAAATTAATATTGATACATTTTAAAACTAGTCCTACAAATTATTGCATTGAGATATTGAACAGACTAATAAGTCTATGCAATAGACTTCACATTGTGTCTACTATGTCCATGGGATGCTTTAGAGGACGTTATTTACTATGAGCTGCAGCCCTCAATTTACAACAGAATGCAATTAATTCTGGCTTGATGAAATCTTCTTCTAGAGCTTTTATTCCAATTTTGAGTGGACATTTTGAAAAGGAGTTACTGAACTTCTATATTGAAGAAGTCTACAGAATATAGAAAGAATGACATGGTATAATATGCAGTCTCATATACAATGCCACACTGAGGAAAGAAAATCTGCAACCAAAAAAAAGTTTCACAAATTCTTTCACATTTCTCAGTAGTAAAGGGGTTAATCATTGAAAGAAAGCATCCTTCTTATGTTGGTATGAAATAAAACATTTTTTAAAATATTGTTGCTATAATTATTAAATGATTCACAATTTTTGAGTGTTTTCAATTTTATAGGAATGCCATCAGTTTTATATATTTTTAGTTCCTTGTATTATAATCAAAAAGCATCCTCCACCACATTCCTTAACATAATTATTTCACAAGCCTCACAAGACAAAGTCATAATATATTAAGCATTCCCTGTAAGAGTAATACTTTCATTCTGAAAAACACGAAATGCTTACAAAACAGACTGTAAAACTTGTATATAAAAATTATAAACATGGATGTTGAAAAGTCTTGGTCTACCCTCCAGTGAGATTAATCAGACAGAGTTCTGAGAGAAGGTGTCACCTGATACAAAGTCATGCAAGAGTGATGATGATGTGGAGAATGACAATCCAAAAAAGAGTAAATATGACTGCTTACCTTAAAGTGAAAGCTTGATGACAAATACACAGAAATGAAAAGGACATAGCAGGTGACTGGGGTGTGCTGATAAGTATTTACATTTAAATGACTTTCCAAATATCATCTAAAAAGCACTACTGCGAAACTATGGACTACACTAGTGTTCAATTCTTACCAAAATTTCAGTATCTGTAGCCTGTTCTTGGGCCATCTGAATTGCTTTTGCCAGATCTTCTTCACCTTCTGGTATGCTAAAATTGTCATCTTGTATCTAGATCAGAGAGAAAGAGAAGGATAGAAGAGTGAGCAGAAATATAAAATATTTCACTTCAGAAATAATTTTTCTTCACAAAGCAAAGGATCAAAGAAACACTTTATGTGAAACACCATGTCATTCTGAACATCTATGAAAAATGAATAACAAACTGCTTTCTTCTGACTTCCTTGTAAATGTCAATAAATGTCACTTCTAATAAATTCAAGATTAGTTTGTGGGCAACTGCTTTTATCTATAATAGCAAATGTAATCTAACAACGCTGCTGAAAAAATAATAAGGCTATCTAAATATCACCATTCTCTCCCCATCCCAGGTATTCTCCACCATCACTTTTTCATAACTACTAGCAACTTAAAATATCTACTAGCAACTGAAAATTTATTAAAAAATAAAACTCACTGAGCATTAAAATCTTGAAAGGACATGATGGATTGTAATTATGTTATTAATGACAGTTAAGACTTAACGCATGCTTCTTATGTGCTGATCACTGGTTTAAGCCCTTTATATTTATTAACTTATTCAGAAACTTCATATGGTACATATTATCTCCATTTTACCAGTAATAAAAAGTCTGTCTCTAATGTCTGTCCCATCTCTTGTTCACCCAGGCTTGCCAGGCTTATTTCCACACAGTTTCATTCACAGCCTTTGTCATCTACCAGTGACTTTATCCTCCAAGTGTCCAAAGCAATGAGAGGTCTCATGGGAACAGTGAATTAAAGGAAAGCTTTGAGATAGGAACCACATTAGACAGAAGTACAGTTAAGCTGGAAGGATGCATAAGGCCTGAGCTCCAACTGGGTAGTGGGAATCTAGGAATCCTTGCCAAGAGTGGACTGAATGACAGGAAATGCCTTCTGAACAGACACGACAGTTTATGGTAGTAACCTATAAGGCAGACAATAAGGAGCTAAACCTAAATGACAATTAACAGGAAAACCAAAAGAATCATATGTATTATCCAATTTAAATGTTTAAATAGAATTTTCACATCTCATTCTTAATCAACTAAATTCAGTTGAAAAACTCTCTCTTAAGAAAAAAGAAACGGTTCTTACCTGTTTCAGAACATAAACGTTTCATGAGAATGACTGCAATAAGTTTACAGAATAAATACCTAAATTAACATATTACCTCTTCATATTCATAGTCATCTTCAGGTGTTTCAGTTATGGTGACCTCTGAATATCTTGTCAAGTATTCATCTTAAAAAATATAGAATAAAATTATCATACAAAAAATTGATTTGACCTTCAAATATGGTATTGGATTCATCTCCCCAGGAAGTTGGAAAATATATATAATTTTAAAAAATGTATCTTCCCCATACAGCCTATAAATCTAGATATTTTAAAATAAAATATTTTGTTATTTTTCACAACTCAAATCCACAAAAAACTACATTTCTATCTGTCTGTTTGACTACTTACCATCTATCTAATGATTTCCAACTTGATTCTATAAAGGCTCATGAAAATATACATAGTATCATAAGATAGCATGAATTAGAAAAAGATAAAAAATGGTAAATTTTTCTTAAATTCATCTTAAACCACAGAATTTTTCAGAGCTCCTGAGTTAACGTTTCACAGTGCATGAATAAAGTGTGACGTTATTTGGTTTAAAGTGTTGTGAATTAACAAAACAAATGCACACCAATATTTAAGTATAAGTAAAAAACACATATCAATGTTTATATCAATGAAATTTAGTTAAATTTTACTTTTTCATATATCTCTATTTTTAAATTATCTTTATAGGAAAGATAATTTGTAAGCAAATATAAAGTATATAGCCATCATAATTCAAAATCTCATAAATAGGGAAGAAATTAAATATCATTGGAAATGATTCTAACATAAAATAATTCTAAGAGAATTGCTTTAAGACTTTCAAAAATTATAAGTTACTCTAATTACATGAGAACTTCAAGACAATATTTTATGCTAACTCACAGCACACACCAGCAGTGCTTCTTGTTGTTGTTATTGTTGTTGTTGTTAGGTTTACACTTTTTTCAACTACACTGACTTGGTTATACCAAGTTTTAGTATGAATTAAACACAGTAATGGTTATGAACATCACAGATAAGATTCGCCTATTCTTCATTTTGCTGCTGATCATAAAATGTCCCTGGTTGGGCCAGGCGCAGTGGCTTACGCCTGTAATCCCAGCGCTTTGGGAGGCCAAGGCAGGATGATCAAGAGGTCAGGAGATCGAAACCATCCTGGCCAACATGGTGAAACTCGTCTCTACTAAAAATACAAAAAAAAAAAAAAAAAAAAATAGCCGGGCATGGTGGCGTGTGCCTGTAGTCCCAACTACTTGGGAGGCTGAGGCAGGAGAATTGCTTGAACCCAGGAGGCGGAGGTTGCAGTGAGCTGAGATTGTGTCATTACACTCCAGCCTGGGTGACAGAGGGAGAGTACATCTCAAAAAAATAAATAAATAAAATGTCTCTGGTATTATGCTTACCAAGAGTTAGTTGAAATGGTATATAACAACTTCTATTGTTTGTAACAAGAATAGGTAACACAGAGTATTTAATAGGAACCAGGAACTGTTCTAAGGGTTTTCTGTGTACTAACTAATTTCAACCTCATCCTGCCTATAAGACTGGAACTACAACTCCATTTTACAAATCAAGAATCAGAGGCACCAAGTTTCCACAGCTAGGACCTAACAGAGTTGGGAATCAGCCCAGACATTTAGGTTTCACCATGTTACATTGTCTCTCCATGTTCTATATGGGTTTTCTGTGTTATATAAATACATAAAATATTTGCCAATTATTTTCCACAGAGATCTAAACCTATAAATGTATTATTGCTACTCAGCTCCATCACAAGTAATCATTCTTCCCTGTATTTCTTATCCCTATCCCTTGAAGGTGACACTTAAGCCCTATTCTATTACGGCCAATCCTCATATATCAGGTATCTGTCAGAAGGTCAGTATTTTGTTGCCAAACATAAGTAAGTGCCTCTCCTAATAACATAATGAAAAGTAATTAGGCTCAAAAATAGCTAGTTAAATAATTAAACAACAACCACATAAAAATAGTTGCATACTTGCAGTCTCTTCCATAACTTTAAATCATCTATATGAAAGACTACAAAGAGTAAAATACTTCCTTTATTATCTACTACTGCAGAACAGTTTCTAATAGTATTTACCTCACTCTCTAATTCCTTGCCAGCAGCCTCTTTAAAGATCATAAAGCTTCTACTAGCAATCTGTTTAAGGTATTTTATCTTTCACTAACAAACTATTTCCAACATCTCCCTAATCCCCAGTTCCAAAGCCATTCTGTTACTTCTTATTTAACATCTCACTCCAGATATTCATCCAGAAGGTCATGCTAAGTGAAATGTTAGATACAGAGAGACAAATACTGCATAATCTCACTTACATGTGGAATCTAAAATAAAGTCCAACTCCACCAAAACAGACATTAGAAGGAGAGTTACCCATGAATAGAGGGTAGGGAGAATAGAGGGATGTTGGTCAACACTGCACAAATGTTCAAAGAATTTATGGAGACCTAATGTATAGCAGAGTAACTATGGCTAATAATAACATAGCGTGTATTTGAAATTTGTAAAGAGAGATCTTAAATATTCTTACCACAAGTAATATAAAAATGGAAAGGTAACTACATTAGGTATATATGTTAATTAGCTTGGGTGTGGTAGTTATTTCACAATGCATATGTAAATAAAAATATTCTGTATAGCTTGAATATATGTAATTTTGTCAATTACATCTCAATGATGAAAAAAGGAACAATAAGCACTTATGATATTATAATTTCTCTGGCTCAAGAGCTCAGTGGTGGTTTAGCTGGTGGAATTTGACTTGGGGGGGTCTCTCATGATGTCACAGTCAAAAGGACAGTAGGATTAGGGTCATCTGAAGGCTGAGATGAGGCAGCAGGATCCAGGTCCATGGCAGCTCACTGACACTGTACTAGTTTGCCTGAAGACCTCAGTTCCTCCCCATGTGGGTCTCTCCACAGACTGCCTTAGCATCCTCAAGATATGGTAGCTAACTACCCCCAGAATAAGCAGTACAAGAGAACAATGTGGATGCCACAATAGCTTTTCTGACCAAACATCAGAAGTCACACATCATCTCTTCAATATCTTACTGGTTACATGGGTCACCCTATTCAATGTGTGAGGATTACATAAGAGCATGGATATTAAGAGGTGGGGCTCACTGGGTGTGTATTAGTTCATTGTCATCCTGCTATGAGGAAATACCCAAGACTGGGTAATTTATAAAGAAAAGAGGTTTAATTGGCTCATAGTTCTGCATGGTTAGGGAGACATCAGGAAACCCACAATCACAGCAGAAGGCACCTCTTCACCAGACACCAAGAGAGAGAATGAGTGAAAGCAGGGGAAATGCCAGACACTCATAAAACCATCTAGTTAGACTCACTCATTATCACAAGAGCAGCATGGGAGAAACCGGCCCCATGATCCGATTACCTCTACCTGGTCTTGCCCTTGACACATGGGGATTATAATTCAAGGTGAGAATTGGGTGGGGACACAGAGCCAAACCATAACAGGTGTCATTTTATTTAAAGACCATCTTCCTTCCATACTATAAGAGTGTTAAAAGAGTTAACATATGTAAAGTATTTAGATAAGTACCTGGCTTATAGTAAATGTTACAAGTATTTGTTGTCACTTCTTTCCTCGCTCTGCAAAGAGATGACTATCTATGGAAAAAAATCTCTTAAATTTCTCATGCCTCTGTTCCCCCATTATGCTAAAATAAATAAAAGACAATTCAAAATTTCTCTCCAGTTATAGATTTATATCTTTCTCATAGTTTTATATAATGAGATAAAATTTCCTAAAGTTCAGCTAGAGGAAGTCAGCCTCTTTTCTATGAAAAACCATGACCCCTTCTACGAGACAGCTACTAGAAAGTCATTTTGTAAGCAGTCACTTGTATGTCTCCAGAAAAGCAATGCCATCCTTCACCATGTTCATACCATAATAATTTCAAAACGAAGTAAATGCTCTAAAATCTTCAGGATAGACTTTAAAGTTGTAAATAAGCCAACCACTGGTAAGATTATATGAGGAAGCGATGTCACACAGAGATATAGAGTAGAAAAAAAGTGATTTGTCCTCAAACCATAGAAAATATCAAACAGTACTTGTATACTCCTACCCAGCATATATTCTAGACAATGGCTTTTTATCACTAAAATGTATTACTTTCCAACAATCAAAAAAGATTAAGGGAAAACACAACTACCATTTTACAAAACTTAAAAGTATTTTCACATGGACCAAAATTATATTTATTCTCCTAACACCGCAGCGATGTCTAACAACACAGATGTAGTCGGCTGTAAACTGAAAACGAAGAAACTGAATCAGACCTTAAAAGATCTGCCCAAGATCAGATGGCTATGAATGACAAAGATAAATTCCTGAGATACAAATATCATGAATTTGCTGCTACACCATACTGTTTCTACAGTAACACAATAGGATATGTTTTTGTAACCAATATCCTAGGTAATGAACTCACCTATTTTTTTCCAAAGCTCTCAAGCGTTACATTAATAAGAGGTAAACTAAATCACATAGATAGCTCAATTTGAAGATCCACAGAGGAAAGAGAAGTAGAAAAGAGCTACAGGCTACAAACTCAAAACAAAATCTAACCAAGGGCAAGAGACTGATGAGACAATACATCGGGTAGTGGACAAAACACTCAAACTAGGAATATACATACTTTGATTGGTTTTTATGTATCCACAATATAATTTATATTTATAAATTCCCAGAAGTAACTCAGTTTAAATTGTGCAATGTTATTAAAGACATAAATATACTTTGACACTTAAGTTTGTATTCATCTTTTTACCCGGATAGCTAGCTGGCAAAATGGACAGGTGCACAAACTGATCCTAAAGTGATTCTGTAGCAGTTTGCAAATATATACACTATACAAAATAAAACAATGTTGAAATTTGAGGAGAAAAGGAAATAGTATTATAGAAATAAGATAAGGATTAAGATGCAGCACATACCATAGTTTTCATAAGATTGGTTAAAAATAACCCCCAGATTTTACTCTAAGCTTCCCAGTAAACAGGGTAAAAAGGGACATGGAATCAGATGCTAATTTTGTATCAACCCAATGAAAACTGAGTTTCTTAATAGATATCCA